TCGAAACTACCAGCTGTTCCGTGGGAGAAAGGTGAGGCTTTCTGCTCTCATAAAGATTTACAGCCTCAGAAACCCTGTACAGGGTCACTATGAGTGTGAACCGACTCCATGGCACATCACCACCACTGCCATTGAGTCGGTCCCCACTGACTCCATGCACAACTGAAAAAGTTGCCTGGCCCTTTGACATTTCCATAATCGATTACAGATCAATTGGTTGTGATCCACAGGGCTTTTCAGGAAGTCTGGATGTGGACCATCAAGTCTTTCTTAGTAGTCTAAGTCTGAGAGCTCTAAGTCTGATACATGGGTGATATGAGGTCTCTCAATTGGAAGGCAAGAATTCTGTTTATTGTTGTATGCCCCTGAGTCAATTCTAACTCACAGTGAGCCTATATAACAGATTAGAACTGCTTCATCATTTCCTAGATTATAATCCTTATGGAGGAGTCCTGGTGTGGTACTGTGGGATAAGCACTGGACTGCTGACCACAAAGAAGGAAGTTCAAACCCACCAGGTGCTCCTGGGAAACCCTATACAGGGTCACTATAAATCAGAACTGACTTGGCGGCACGTAGCAGCAACAATCTTTTTAAAAACAGCTTGCCAGATCTTTCTCCTGCAGAGTGCCTGATGAGTTCAAACTTCTCTTTTCCATTAACAGCTGAGTACTTAATCATTGTGGCACCAGGGTAAACCAAGCAAAAAAAAAAGATGTATGTGAATAGCATTGTTTAGTCAAAGACTTAAGACTTGGTGATTGACCAACAGTGAGGCAAAGGAGTCCTGGGATCAGAGACACTGGGAGTAGCCCCCCAGGTTTCCTTATTTTAAATGCAGAGTTCTCCCACATCAAGCAATGAGAAAAAATAGTTTTAAAAGAGGTGGCAGGGTAGGAGTCCTGGTGTGGCGCTGTGGGTTAATGCACTTGAACCACAAGCTTGGCAATTCAAGTTCAGCAGTCGCTTCTCAGAAACCCTATACAGGGTTGCTATGAGTCAGAACAACTTGATGGCACTTAGCAACATGGAGAAAATAATAACAAGAATGGGATGACAGACAGAATTTTGGAGAAGACATTAAAGGTTATAATTTCCATGGGGATGAAAATTAGTTCTTGAATGAAATCAGGTTCATAGTCTTTCAAGCTATAACCTTTGTAACAAAATCTGATTCCTTAGTATTGACTTTTTCTTATTAGAATTTATATTTTCTTTGCAGAGGAGTGAATAATGAAATGGGTAAAAAGTTGTGAAGTACTGAATTAAGGACTGAGAGAAAGGAGAGGATTTAGGAAGCAATTTAGGACCAATGAGAGAGGTTAAAGAAAAACCAGAAAGATTTTAAAGTAGACTGCTTTTGAGAAGGGGCCAGTCAGAGATTAAATATAAAACAATACCTGTATGTATTCCATATATATGTGTATGTATATGGAGTCCTGGTGTAGCGCTGTAGGATAAGCAATGGATCACAAAGTTGATGGTTCAAACTCATCAGCGTCTTCTTAGAAACCTTACACAGAGTCACTATGAGTCAGAACTGTTTTGATGACACTTAACAGTACATACAAATATATGTATATTAATATACTTAAAACACTTAGTTTAGTTCTGGAAAGACCATCTTACAAGGTTCTAAGTAATAATCATAGGAATATATTTCTTTAGCTGAAAAATTACAAGAAATTTTCTCAATATGGCATTGTATTTCAGCCAGGAAAATCACTACTGTTCTGTTCAGAAACAGACCTAAAAGGACACAGATGAGAGTGGGCTGGTCTGTTTTAAGAATATAATTATTTTACCAGATATACTTTAAAAAAAGATCTTTAGAGTAGTCCAGTGCCATGGAAAAATTAGCTTAAATGATCTTCCAGGATTTCTTTTCACATTCCTTAGTCTCTGTGACATGCAATGTAAACCCGTCCCAGGAAATCGGACGTATCTTCCAAATACTGCTAACTGCAATGTCAGTAGTGCAAACCCACCAGCCACTCCTTGGGAGAAAGATGAGGCTTTTTGCTCCTGTAAAGATTTACAGCCTTGGAAACCCTAGACAGTTTTTGAGTCGGAATCGACTTGATGGCACTGGGAGGGAGGGAGGTATTTAAGGAACAACAAGGAGCAGAGAAAAGTTACATTTTCTAAAAATTTAAAAATAAATTTATGAGAAAAACAGATCAACACATAGCATGAGAATCAGTGTGTGTTGGGACCTTGCTTCTTTTGCTGACTGTATAAAGTGACCTGGGTGGGTGGGGGTGTCCCTGAGCTCCTAACGCCATTGACAAGCAATGTTGATTATAGGCAGTAGGTGGCCTCAATGAGTGAGAAGGTATCACTCATTGGAGAACACATGTCTCATTGGAGACATCCTAGAACCTCTCTAGGATTTCAAAGCACAGGCAACCAATAATACTCACCAGGCTAAAAAGACTGCACCACCAACAAGTGTATTAAACAATTAGGGAAGAAAATAAAAGATGATTTAGAAGATCAAAACTTCGTATCAAATTTTCCAAATCTATACGGCATATTCTACAGTCAGCTATAACAAAGCCATTTTTTTCTTATCCAGATATAAGCATTCAAATTAAACCAGTTGACTGTTTGAATGGACTCTGACGTAACGGTGACCTTGTGTGTGCCAGGGTACAGCTGTGATCTACAAGATTTTGATAGCTGATTTCTGAGTGGATCACTAGGTCTTTCTTCTCAGTCATCTCTGGGTGGATTCAAACCTCTAATCTTTCAGTAATAGTGAGCGTGTTATCCCTTTGCACCACTTAGGGGCTTTTAGAATTCAAATTACTTTCCCTTAAAATTCTTGGTGTGGTGCTAGAGAATCAGCACTTGACTGCAAACCACAAGATTGACAGTTCAAACCCACCAGTTGCTCTCAGAAACCCTTTATAGTGTCGTTATGAGTTGGAACCGACTCAATGGCACTTAACAACAACAAAGTTTAGAATAGGAGAGATTCTTTTCGCAAAAGACTCAAAAGTGCATTCCTGTTTTTATCTTTGAACAGGTGGTAAATACCTCATTTTTTAAGTTTTAGATTTTGTGATTCTTTTCTTGAAAATATAAATGTCCCCCCTTCATAACACAGAGATTCTCAATTTGAGAGAAAGAGAGAAAATCAGTATTCTAAAGAGACGTGTGATTTTCTGAAAAGCCAGAAAACTCACCCAATCTCTCCAGCATTTACAGAATAGTAATTTATTCATTATTAACAACATGGGTTTAGCCAACCAGAAAGCTGTACTCTACCAAAGTTTTAATGTTTGCTTTTTATCTTATCCCTTTAGAGTCTTAAGTTTATTTGCATGCCTGAAATGACTTAGACATGACTTTCAATGTGGTGACTGATCTGGTGGGGGTCAAAGTGGATGGTACAGGCAGAGGAACAAGATGGGGTATGTTGAGAAATCACGGCAACTGCTCAAACTGTCTATTGCATACAGTTTATTTCACTAGACTGCAATTTTATACAAAGTCTGAAGGGGTTTCCTGAATGCACACATATAGTTTACTTTCTGAACTGCGGAAGAACCAATTGTTTTTTTACATTATATCATAATACCCTATCATTAAAACATTATTCAGTGAAGTTTTTTCCCCCACAACTACATATAAATGGAGATTTATCACATACACGGTGCAAGAATGTCTTTATAACATATTTGAATCACAAAATGTGAATCTAAAATACATCACTGTAATTAGAACACTACTGTAAAATTACAATGCCCCATGTTTGTATTAGCTAGATTTGATTTATCCTTGGTGGGATCACAGCGCAATCAGGTGGAGAACTTCATAGATAACTGGCAGCAGCTTTTGACTCTTGATTTCAAAAGAAATCTTTAATTAAAAATGAAAATTTCAACATGTTAAAAACGTCTTTCCTTACATTTTCAGCATTCTCAGAATCAAAATGGGACCTATTTAAAAAATATATAAGGTTCCTAAAACAAGGAAAATAAATCCAACTCTCCCTTAGCTCAAAGGCTAGGGCTGTGACACCAGGTTTTAGAAAAACCTAAGGAAAGCATTCTATGGGCAGTGGAAATGAATTATAGAGAAACAGTTAATAGGTCTAAACATTTCTTGAACTCCTCTGCCAAACACAGACAAAGAATACTGCATTACAAACAAGAATGTGTTTCCATGAAATGATGTACTAAAGAAAATGTATGTAAACAAGTCAGAGAGAAAGATTTCTTCATTTTCCCATTTTTGTGGAGCAGGGCAGTGGGATTCTATCAGTTAAATAAGAATCAGGATTCCTTAATCAAAGAACCACTTCATCACACACAAAACAGCTAGGGATGATTTGCTGGTAACTTCTCAGGTGTTTCTTTTTCTTTCCCCAAAAAGTTTGAGAATGTTTGAAAGTTCAATAAATAGTAGAAAAATAATCCTTTACTTAGAAATTTTGAGATGCATCATTTAGTGCTTGAGTTCCATACAGCCACGGTGGTATCTAGGTACCACTAAGAAACAAATGAAATCTTCAAAGCACATGTTTAGATCAGGATGTACCACATTCCCAATCTCCAGTCGCCCAGTCTTTCCTCTCTTCCAGTTAAGGAGAGCCGAATGTTTCTGGTTGCTAGGAACATTCCTCTGGCTCAGCTTAACGAAGGTTCTCAATGTTGCATTTCAAGGTTTCATCTCTATGTTTGGAGATCTGCCTCTTTTCCACTCCATTCATATTATGGCAGGTTCATTAATCAGACTTACTCCCCCTCTATTTCAGAACCAGTCTCACATTTACACAACTGTGATTTTGTTGTTGTTGTCCTTGTTTGTCAAAACAAGTGAACAGGCAGGAAATGAGTGAAACCACTCTGGACAAAGCACACACACACACACACACACACACATACACACACACAAGGGGCTCCGTGCTGTGGGTTTCAGCTGGTTCTTTTTTCTCTCTTGAACACTCTCTTTCTACCAGATCCTGTCTTCTCTCAGAGGTTAGAAGATCGTTAGCATTCTGCATCCACTGTGTGTACGGTCACGGCGGCCTGCAAGTGGTGGCTGTGGTGAAGGGTGGGGTGGTGTAACCGGTAGTGGTGGAACTTGTGACTTAGGAGGGCAGCAGTCTGAGGTGGGGTATCCAGATCCAAGTCCTCATCATGGTTTCCCACATCAACTCCTGCTGACAAGGGGTCGTTGTTGCACGGAGGATTTTCACTGTCTTCCTGTGGACTCATGGTGCTGTAACCTAGAAAACGAACAAAAGAAACAGTGGAGAGTTTCAAGATTTCACTTAGGGTTTACAGAGTTCACTGGGAAGAGTTCCTATCTTGGTGCTGTGTAAACCAAACCAAGACCACTACTATGGCTTGACTGAGACTCATCGCAGTCCTACTGGACAGAGCAGAATTGCTCCTTTGGGTTTAAGACTAAGTGTTCATGAGAGCAGACAGCCTCAGCTGTCTCCTACAGAGCGACTGGTGGGTTTGAACTGACAACCTTGTAGTTAGTGCTTACATGCTTAACCCCCAGTGACCAGGGCTCCTATCTTGGTTCTGTTATTGTTGTTGTTAAGTGCCGCTGAGTCGTTTCCGACTCACAGTGACCGTGTATAGGGTTTCCAAGGAGCAGTTGGTGAGTTTAAACCACCGACCTTGCAGTTCAAACCATTTTTGCGGTCGAGTGCTTATCCTACAGTGCCACACCAGGACACAGGGGCACATACTTGCAGACTGTCTGCAGATGGAAAGGGACTCGTTTTAAAAGAGATAATCAGTTACACGTTTCTCTTTAAAAATAAAACAATTACCTTAGTCAATGGAGAACATATAGATAAGAAAAATAACCTTCATCAACCTTCCCCCTTCAATCCCCAAACTAACAAAATAAAACTCAAAATCATTCCATATACTGTCATCCCGAAAAAAAACCACCATCAGTGTCTGTTGTTTTCTTCTATGAATCACTAGGATTTGGGCTAGCTATTAAGAAAAAAATGATTCAAAGCTGAACTGAAACTCTGAGGTTATTTAAATGCCAAAATCTCATCTTCCAATTAATTAGTCCAATTGGATCCACTTGCACTTTTTCTTGACTCATCACCATTGACATTTGGGAACTATCCTAGTTTATTTCTCCCCAGCATATTAAGATGGTCTCTCCTTTTAAAGCTAAGTAAATAAATACATATAAGGAGGAGGGCAACTTTGAGAAAAAGATCCAAACTGTACTCAGAATAGTGGGGGCTTTTAGGGGAAGGTGAGGCTCCAAAATACCTGGATGTGATGTCACAAGAAGAACAAAAAGAACTATCACCTTCATCCCTGCCCTCATTTGCACGTGCAATACAGCAGGCACTTGATTCATGTAATCCCTGCATATCAATGAGATACATGTTTCCAAGTTTATTTTACAGATGAGAGAAATGATCCTCAGACAGTCTAAGGAACTTCCCCAAGGTTCTAGCACCTAATAAAACGCAAACTCCACAAAGATACCTTAATAGTCACAGCAACCAACAGAGGAATCAACTATTCTCTAAGCCGGCTCAATGTATTTAAAGATTCATTTTAGTATTTTAAGTAATACATGTTTCAAAAGAAAATGCCCTTGTTAGTCAAAGGATTCCATTCCAAGAACCTTGGCATGTTTTTAAATATTGCAGAAATCCCCTTGAACATTTCTAAGACGCGACAGCTCATTAATATTTCCACGGCATCTATAGTTAGCATCAATCAGCACTCACCCGTGGGGAGTGCTAGTCACATTTGTGGCTGCAAAATTGATGTGCTTGCACACAGCTAAGCGGGAATAGGTAGTTGGTGGTGGAAAACGTACGCTCCATGTAAAATGAGAAAGGCAGTTCTGTTTTCAAGGAGACATTTCTCAAATGATAGAATTACTTAACAATTCAATTCCCACATATTTATTGGGTGCCTATGGTGTGGCACTGTGGGTTAATGTGCTGGACTGCAAAGTAGGTTTGAATGGCAAGGTTAGTGGTTCAAACTCTCCAGCCGCTCCTTGGAAACTATACAGGGATGCTATGGGTCAGAATCAACTTGACGGCACTTAACAACAACAACTATGTATAAGGGAGTCCTGGTGTGGCGCTGTGGGTTAATGTGCTGGACTGCAAAGTTGGTATGAACCACAAGGTCAATGGTTCAAGCTTACCAGTTGCTCCTTGGAATCCCTATATAGGATTGCTATAGGTTGGAACAGACTCACCGGCACTTAACAACAACAACAACAACTATGTATAATGGAGTCCTGGTGTTGCACCGTGGGTTAATGTGCTGGACTGCAAAGTTGGTTTGAACCACAAGATCAGTGTTTCAAGCTCACCAGTTGCTCCTTGGAAACCCTATACAGGGTTGCTATAGGTCGGAACCGACTCGATGGCATTTAACAACAAATAACATCTATCTGTAAGCCAACCAGCTGAATAAATAGAGTTCCTGCACAGAATGAACGAAGAATAAGCAAAGCTCAACTCAGTTACTCATTTACTGATGATTGTCATGGAGTTGAGGGAAGAATGACAAGGAAACATGAAAAAGAGGTGAGTCCTTGCCTTAAAGATTTCACAATACAACATGAGACAGATGTTCATGAAGCTAGGCTTATTCTAATGCCAATAATGACTGTTGTTGGACTCCTGGTGTGGTACTGTAGGAAAAGCACTGGACTGCTAACCACAGGTTAGTGGTTCAAACTCACCAGCAACTCCTCAGAAACCATATACAAAGTCACTATAAGTCGGAACAATATTGTTGGTAGTTACCACTGAGTTAGCCTGGCAATCTCATACATAAGGCAATTGGACTGTTGTGACCCATACTGCTTTCACAGGCTGAATTTTGCAAGTATATCACTATGACTTTTCCTAGTCTGTGTTTGTATGGAAACTCCACAGAAACCTTCCCAGCATCCTAACCACACGTGCCTCCACAGAAGGATGGGGATGGCTACACTGATGAGCGCGAGCTGAGAATCAAATCCAGGTCTTCCAATGTGGAGGGTGAGAATTCTACCCATGAACCACCACTGTCCTGTAAGTGCTATCTATACTTGAGATAAAACTAAACTCCAGAAGAGAGAATAACTAAATTTTGATGAGTGACATAAGAAGCTTGCAGCTTTTAGTTGGGATTCAATGGAGAAGTTTGATAAATAGACACAAGCAAGGGAAAAGGATGAATAAAGCCATAAAGTCATAAAGTCATGGAAACGTAAGGCCATTTCATGTGGCTAGGATGAGTGGATGGAGGAAAAGTCAAGTGGAAGGTGGAAACCTTACAAGGTTTTGAGCAGACTAAAAAATGATATTGGTATGTCTGTCTTTTAAAATGATAATTTTAGTGCCAATGCGAATGAATGCAAGGGAAGAGAGAAGGATCAACAAGAGGTTATTATAATAGCCCAGATAAAACATAAAATAAAACTAGAGTGGGATTGAACAAATTGGAAACTATTCAGGGGTGAAAACACTGCCTCCAAACACCTCCCAGATGGCTTCCCATTGTTTCATTACAATGCCCGCAGTAACAGTCATTGGAACATCCACGGTGAGTAATTTTATGGGAGGGGATGTGGGGCGTGAGGGATGGCTAAAGGTGATAACATCTCAGAGTCACGATGACTAGCAAGGGATACTCTGAGACCCTGAGTCTCAGGGAAGAAAATGGATTTTGATTTTGCACGCACTGATTATGGGGATCTATGGGTCAGAGATGTCAGCTTGAGGACTAAGGTGCACCTGACCCAAGCCATGGTATTTTCAATAACCTCATATGGATGCAAAAGCTGGACAGTGAATAAGGAAGATTGTAGAAGAATTGATGCCTTTGAGTTGTGGTGTTGGAGGAGAATAATGAAAGTGCCATGGACTGCCAAAAGAACCAACAGATCTGTTTTGGAAGAAGTGCAGCTAGAGTGCTCCTTGGAAGCCAAGATGGCTAAGTTTCGTCTCTCATACTTTGGACATATTGTCTGGAGGGAACAATCGCTGGAGAAGGATGTCATGCTGGGCAAGGTGGAGGGTCAGAGAAAAAGAGGAAGACCCCTAACTAGATGGATTGGCCAGGTGGCATCATTGATGGACTCATGTAGCAGCGGTAGTGAGGTTGGCCCAGGATGGGACATTGTTTTGTTCTGCTGTGCATGGGGTCACTATGAGTCGGTTCCGACTCGATGGCACCTGACAATAACAACAACAATGGGTCACATATGTGGAGCTACCTAGCCAGAAACTCAGGCCTATACCCCAGTGCAGAATCCAGTGCAGAGGGGGCTATTTCAATGGTGTATGTATCTATCATTACAGAATGCCTTCTTGGTGCCAGGAGCTAGGCTAAATGCTAAACAGAAAAAGGGGTAAGATAAGGACCCAGCTCCTGAGATGTCCACAGTCAAGAAGGAGAAGTGTACATGTTCGAAAACAGAAGCATAGCGAAAGGAACATGGAAGCCAGTTAATTCCATTAGGTGAGTAGATGAGGTGACACATATATAAGGTGCTTTAGATGAGAAAAGGGGGTGGTCACTAGGTAAAGAAAGGGTTGGAAAGGTATTACAGGCAGTGGTTCATCCAGTGAGTTGTCATCACATTGATGCCAATTCATGGAGATCCTATGTGTGTCTGAGTAGAATTGTATTCTGTAGGGTTTTTCAAAGGCTGATTTTTCAGAATTCAATTTCCAGGGCTTTCTTTTGAGGCACTTCTGTTGTTGTTGTTGTGTGCCATGGAGTCGGTTCCAACTCATAGCGACCCTACACAGGGTTTCCGAGGCTATAAATCTTTACAGGAGTAGACCGTCTCATTTTTCTCCCATGGAACCGCTGGTAGTTTCGAACTCCTGACCTTGCGGCTCACAGCCTGATTCGTAACCACTACGCTACCAGAGGCACTTCTAGGTGCACTTAAGCCTCTGACCTTGAGCTTGCACTCAAGCATGTTAACGCTTTGTCCCTCCCAGGGATGAGCACACAAAAGTACATGCATCTGGAGGATTCTGGGAATGGGGAAAAACTCATTGTGTGTGTGTGTGTCTATGTGTGTAGGGGTGGTAAGAGGAAGAGAAGGAAGATGAGGAGGCTGGAATGAATGGTAAGGTAAGAGCCAATAGGGAAGTGGACAGGGGCTGAAGTATGGCCCTGAAGAGATGACAGGGACATGGCACAGGACAGAAACAATGTTTTCAAATGAGAAAACAGCTGGCTTCATTAAGAGACCTCTCAAGTACAG